GCCTTGCGGTTTGGTTCTGGGCCGAGCCCGCTTCGGGCGAGCCCGGATATTTGTTCGAGGTGGGCCGGGCGGTCCAGCCGGGCCTCGGATGTGGCGGGTTTGCCTGCGGTTGTTTTTTGGTTTCGTTATTTACAAGGTCTAAGCAATTTTTTCGGTTCTTGCTCAGGGTACCCTTTATTATGTTATCCGACACTATATATTTCTTATTTGATATTGCATAAAAAATAATTTGAATGAAATATGTAGATCTTATTGAGAACTACACCTTTCATATAAAAAGTGTATTTATTCAACATTAAATGGAAAGATATGATTTTTTTCTTAAATAGTAAGATTTGGTAAATTTTGTATTGTTTGTTTAGCATCTTGAGGATCTTAAATGAAAAACTTATAAACTAAAAAATTGTGCATCTCGTCGATAGCTACAACTTTGATATAAAAGGTATCTTCATTTAACACCTATCACAAAAAATATAATTTTCGTAAGGCGACCAGCCCTTGTACACGATTAATATGTTGCTGAAGCTTTATATTATTTTTTCAAGCATCTTAACGACCTCAAATATAAAAACTCAAAAATACAAAGTTGTAGATATCATTGGGAGCTATAATTATTATGGTGCTGAACTTTTATATTATTCGTTTGGGCATCTTAAAGTCCTCAAATGAAAAAAAACTCAAAACTAAAAAGTTATAGATGTCGTTGAGATCTACAATTTTTCATATAAAATAATCTACATCCGACGTCGTGTTGAAGAGTTATGATTTTTCGAAAATTTCACTCTTGTCTCGTCATTTCCGGTGGTGCAACAAAACAATATTGTCATACCAAAGGGAGTGGTGCGACGAACTTTTCCACGTAGGAAACGCCGTTCAATGTGGCACATCTTGCCGCGCCACATGCATTGGCGCCACAACGTTATTTGGTCGTGTCAGTCCCATGGCGCGACCAAAAGGGTCATATCTATAAATTCTATGTAGAGCGATTACTATTAAAACATTGAATAAAAAAGATTAAAATGATAAAAATTCCAAAAGTCTCGCCCATGACCGTCCCGCTGGGCAAGTCGGGCCTAAATTTTTGAACCAAACTTGGGCCGGGTTCGGACCCAGGTGGGCGGCCCCGCGTATTTTACAATGTAAAATAGCAAAAAACAGTATTTTAGGCCGGGCTCGGGCCAAGAAATTTTTTTCCTAGGCAGTAGGATTTGTGTCCAGGCTCTATCTAGTAAGGTTCGTGGGCGGGCTAAAACCCGGCGAGCTCGGGCGGGCCCTCGGCCGAGTTCAATTTGTTCAGGTCTAATCGGTGCCGGTTTGTCAACCTAGCAGTGATAACAAGTTGTCACTACAAGGTCAAAGCATTAGCTGCCAGGATATCCGTGAGTATCACTATCGGGTTGACGTATGAACCAGCATTGATCGGCATGTTTGGTTGGCTGGTTCGTATCGTTGCTGGTTCGTGAAGAAATACTGCTGGCTGGTTTGTGTGAGAGAAAAATACTAGTTTCGGCTGGAAATTTACGATCGTTTATAACAAGTCACAGCTAAACGAACAGGCTATCGATATCATGAGTTTCATTGCCAGGTTGGCACATGAGCCGATAATGATATGATAGGTTTCATTGTCGGGTTAGAACTTGACCCGATAGTGACATCTTGAGTTTCACTGCCGGGTTAAAACTTGCTCCAGCAATGACACTCGTTACATCACTATAAGATCAATGCCACACCCGGCAATGAACTGGTAAGTATCACTGCCGGTTCTATACCACACCTGACAGTACTTAAGTATTATAATGCTTCATATATATATATATATATATATAAATATATAATGTACCAGACGATTATAATGCACCAAATATATATATCACTGCCATCAAGATTATGCTTCAAGTTACACAACACAAATGAAACGATCAATAATGTATATATTAAAAAAATTGTCAACTAGAAAGTTATACATATCATTGAGAACTACAACTTGATGTAGACAATGTTAACATCCGAGATCTTTTAAAAATTATAAATTTATGATTACAAAATCTAAAACTTTAAAACAGTTTTTTAGACTGAACAATTTTAAATAAAAAAATTGTCAACTATAAAGTTGTAGATCACATCGAACTCAACAATTTTGGTATAATATTCATTTTTTATCTTATTTTTGTGAAAAATATGAATTATTTTTTAGACAATTATTTCTAGAGATGGACCATTTAAGGTATTTATAGAGGTGTTAGTTTAAGGATGTGCATCTATGTAATTAATTAATACAGGCGGACATTTTAAGACGACTACTCGGCAAATTGATAATTAACAAAAGCGGAGAGCCCATCTTGCATTTTTAGAGTTGGTGCCAAAAATGTCCGGCTTTATTAATCAAAAAGTCTTTCTCCTAAAATAAGCTTTATATAGTAGTTATTACTGAGCCTAGATCACATGAAAGTGCGTACAACAGGAGAACACACAACAGTGCATGCTTTTGGTTTTTTGTAGGACAAGTGGATAGGTACGTGCGGCACGCATGTGTCTAAAAATGGTTATTAGTAAAGGATGAATTATACTGAAAATTTTGAGAAATAATAATACACATTTGAGAGAATTCATATAATAGATAACAAAAGTTCAGACAGAAATAAAAATATGTATTTGCCGCAGGAGTTGGCTGCTCAATTCATATAATAGATTACAAGAATTCAGGTATAAATAAATTGTGTATTTACAACAAGAGTTGGTTGCTAAGCACCAACACCATATTTACATTCATATGAAAATCTAACCAACAACTAAAAGGATAACTTTCTTTCACAGGAACTATCATTTACGTTATGGTACACATCAAAATTTTCCTACGAGTAACAACACGTGCATACCTGCAGTCACTGGGGAAGGAACAGCGTTGTTGTTGCACAGGTTTCGACCAAGCTGCAGCGCAGCTTTTCTATCAAGATTTCGATCCTTCCCCTAGCTCGCCTAGTTCCTGCAGAACACGACGATAGTAGTTGGCCTTCCAATCATTGACCATAAGTTGTCGCACAATCTTCAAAATGGATATCATAAGGGCTAATATGTTTATTTGCATTTTTCTAACATTAATTAGCACAAATAGTATACTGTTCATGAACAAGAATGTAGATGTAATCTTCAGATGCAACCTAAAAAACAAAGTAAAAATGAGTCCCTCTGTTTGAGAATGCAGCAGATTCATTTAGCTAACATGTGTTGCAAAAGTGGAAGAAATCTTAATGCTGTTCAAATTACATGCCAAACCGGGAAAAAAAGACTACTAATACAACATCAAAAAATAAGAGGCAAAAAGAGAAAGAAATCAAGAGGTGTTCAAACTCTGATATTGGCGTGCTCAATTTCACCAGAAGTTAATCTATGTAATGTAGATATGTACAGACCAAAAGTGATGATACAAAACCATCATTTTGTACGATGGGGTTGAAATTGCTTCCTGTCACCAAGCTGTTTGGGTGTTCCAACAGGTTGTGTAACTGAAAATTGGGAGCAACGAGAGGAAACAATTGTAGCTCTTCAGTACAAGAAATGAGAAACAAAGAAAAGAATATATTGCTTCACAAATCGACTGTCAAAATTAGTGCACATCTTTCTATCTCAGCACACCCATCCAGTGGCGAATCAGGATAAATTGTCGCCGGGTAGACACATACTCATCAAACTTACAATAATCTAAAGCAGGCATAATATAGACATAAATCCTAATACCAACGATATATTGCAAAAACTAAGCATTCATAGAGATAAAACTAGCAATGACGTCATCAGAGAAAAATAAATTTATAACTTCACTCTATGGGTAGTCATCCATATTCTACGAACTAGGATATCATCATTTGGAATTGCATCCAGAAATTTTTGTTCCACAAAGCTATTGACGTAATCATTCATAAATCCGTCCCCATACGATTTCGTAGATATGTCTTGATAATTTTCACTACTAAAAAACACCTTTCCATTGATGCAGTGGAAATTAGAAGAACTAGCTAGCATAAGTTTGAGGAGTCCATATACCGAAGGAAAAGCAAGATGTTTTTTCCCACCATGGATTACCAAGTTTAGAAATAGTATCCAATTGAGCAAGTACTGCATCAGCTCACAATTGAGCAAATATGAATAAGATCTTTTAGCTCATTTGAATTAAAATTAGTAGGGTAATGCATAAGCAGTCACACTTATATCTTCTACAACTAAAAATAATAAAAGTAAGATAATTTTTTGATGTAACTTTTTTTTTCGCTCTTCCCTACCATCCGTGCGTTCCGCGTCGCGCGAGGATACGGCAAAGGAAGGTCAATCACCGGCGAATAGAAGGAAGGTAATCACGGGAACGTTAACGTCCACCCCGACGCTCTGCCCGCCAGTGCGATCCGCACTTCTCCCTCGCCGCCGCCTCCTCTCCCTCCCCGTCGCATCCGCGCCGCGCTCGCCCATGCCGCCGCCTCCTCGCAATCTCCCCACGCGCGCGGACGCGGGTTCGATTCCCTCCCCTCCACCAGGAGTGCAGGGCAGCCCACCACGCCGGCCAAGTTGGTCACCAGGCCAGTGCTGGCCCCGCCGCCAGGACACCAGGGCGCCAGGGAAGGGGAGCGAGACGTGAGGAAACCCTGGTCTCCGGATCCGCCACGATGGGCTGCCTCGACGGCGACGCGGAGCCGCAGGGCGCGAGGCGGTAGCCGCGGTTCCTATGCCCTCTCTCCCACGACAGCGGCGGCGCCCCCATCCTGCAGCGGCGCGGACCAGATCCGGCGGTGGCACCTCTCGATCCTCACAGGCGACGGCACCCACCTCCGAGCACCAGCAGCAGCGCCCTACTCGACGTCAGTCATGGCGACGGCTTCCTCTCCCCGACCGCCGCCATGCTGCCTGCGCCCCCCGCTTGGTCGCCCCCGTCTTCCTCTCCCCGGCCAGCGACGCTTCCTCTCCCTCGGTGCCAGCGCGCGTGGATGCGGCGCCTCGCCCCGCCACCGCCGATGCAGGCACCCCAGCTCCGTCCACCCCTGTCGCTAGGCCGGCGAGTGAGCCACGCCTGCTGCCGTGCTGGTTGCCGCGCCGAGCTGGGAGGACGCCACGCCGCCGCGCCAGCTGCCACGCGTCTTCATCTTTGCCCAGGTCTGGTGCACCCCAATGTCTATGTCGCCGCTGTCTTCGACTACATTGACGCCGTCGAGGTTTGTGCCCCCTTCTTCTCGGTCTGGATCTGGGGTTCAATCTCCATGGAGTTGTCGTGGCCCTCCATTTTCATCTCTGACCAAAAACCCGGCGACCTGGTGCCTATATCAGCAGGCGTCTCAGGGTTCAGGTCCGCTGCAGGGAGATCAGAGTCGAGGCCTCTCCATTGACTCCCCTGCCTGGGCCTCAAGTAGCTAACCTCCGTTAACCCCCAAAGCCTGTTTGTGCGTGTGCAGGACTAAAAGAAATATTCATCCCAATTGCTGAGCCTATTGGCATCCTCCAAACTTCAGATACTTAAGTGCTTCTTTATGATTTTGAACAATCAAAGGTACCACTATAGTACTGGCATATGTGTAATGACAGCTTTTCCCATGTATTTTTTCTAACCCATTTTATTGTTACATCACACAATGAAATCACCTGATACTTTTAGGATATATAGGAACTGAATTAGAATGTCTTTCATGTATGCTTCTTTTAACAATTTTCGTTACAGCAGACCATGGTGCAGTCCTGTATCAGGTCCCTGTGCTTTCCGTGTTCTCAAACCTTTATGGTCACGATTGGTTGCAGGTGTGCACATCGGCTGTTTGTGCAAATGACTTATCCGTACGCCTGCAAAGAAAACAGCACACCGGAGGTTTGTTTCAAACTTGCTTCTTGACTAGCTCGGCTATATTGTGCTTTCAGTGCTAACTGGTGCAGTTTGTTGTTCATGCCCTTTGTCAGTTTGTTGGTTAACTACACTTTCCATTTCTTGGAAAAAACATGCATCGTTAGATGATGTTCACTGAATGAGTATAGCAGTTTTCTTTCTCTTTTGGCTTCTACATATGTGATATAGCTACGTTGTATATTTGTTTGTAGAGACTTACAGTTTGGGTCCAAAACTAAGAAGGACGAGTCATGATAACAAATACACATGTTTAGATTTTTACTCTCTTCGTTTCTTTTTAGGTGCAGTTGTGTATGCTTCCATTTGTTTTCATGCCGCACACTACCTGCTACCCTTGCTTTCATGCCTATAGTAATTAGAATTTTACTCTCTTCTTTTCTGTTTATGTGCAGTTGTGCATGGCTCCATTTGTTTTCGTACCACACACTACCTGCTGCCCAATTTCATGCCTATCGTAATCCTACGTGGTCAACGCAATACACTGTTCTTTCTACAGGCAAGCAACAGCATGCCTCTTTAGTTAATCTGCAGATGACTCAGATAGCATACTGGCCTGTAGATTTGAAGGATGGCCTGCAGCTATTTTTGGCCTTTTATCCTTTTCTTGCCTATCAACGTTTCTTATCATATGCTTCCACCATCGCCTCCCTTCCAAACCATTTTTTTTACAAATGAAGGTTTCCAAGTCACTGTTAGACATGCCCCATGTTCTCTTTAGTTTAATTCAGTTCTCTGTTGTTTGTTATACATGGAGCATTTTTCCGAAAAATGATGTATGACGCCCACATTCTTCCTACCTGCTCAACCTGCTGCTATTATTGCTTACCTATTTTAACGTTTCCTTTCATCTCCCCCCTTGTGTTTTCCTTGCTCTGTTTCATGCCTCATGATTGCAAACCACTAGCCCTAATGGATGTGTTACGAAACCCATCATGTTCATGTTTCTTATTGAAATCATGATAACTCCCCCCCCGCTTCTCTTTGCTATCACATTGACAGTTTGCTACATAGGCTCTTTATTTTCCTTACTAACTTTGTACAATTAATATCTAGGTATGATATCCTATTTCTTACAAGTCTCTGCCTACCTTACATAGTGCAGATATCAAATTTTGGACTATACATCCCAATTTTGTGGTCCACAAGGGAGCATGTTAGTCGATGCCGGCATTCAGCTACCCAAGCTAGAAGGAAATACTTCTACTCCAGCAAGAAAGGCACTCCCTGCCTTACTCCATATCTCCATATTGTCACGATACATCTAATGACATGTAAAAATTAGATGAATAATAGTGATAGTCAGCGTTCCAAAGAGATGTCTCGTCATTTTGTTATTAATCATGTAAATATTAGCTATGCAAAATTTTACCTTTGCTTCGTACATTTCTATTGATCTCTCGGTACCATGTCAATACTAGATACGGTAAACACAAAAATATTTACCCTGTTCAAAGCGTCACTTTTCCTTCAGGTGCTCTAGCTCCAAATATAATATACTTATTACATAATGATCTCTCGGTACCATGTCAGTTCAAGAATTTCCATCTTCAATATAGCTAAATAATATTATATTTCTGTGTTCGATATTATCACACTGCAACTATTGTGCATGGAAAAAACACTGACTAAGCTCGTTGATAAGTAAGGTCCGAGAAGAGGTTTATGCTATTTTTGACTAGCTATCAGTATAGGGATTAGCACTATCTATTATATCACTCTATTCTTAAATACGAGTAGTAGCTTGTCAGCTTGAGTCTCTATTTGTAGGTGACATTACTACATTAGCAGCATATGTATTTGATTCTAATCAGTTCTGCAGTAGGCGACCTCCGTCACCACCATGCATGGCCGTCCTGGTGTTGCGAACGCGACTAGGAAACCTAGCGGTCTTCTTCGGGCGCGGCTACGTGCAGCGCATGTCCTTCGACGAGGCGGAGCTCGCCGTGGGGTTTTAGGGTCTCTACAGGCTTGTGATGGCCGGAACGGAGCTTGCCGTGGTGGTGCTCCGGCCATGGCGAGCCTTCGGGGCGGTTCACTGGCACCGGCGTTCCATAGCGTTGTGGGCTGGACAAGGCCGTGCTTGTGCTCGTGCGAGTGCGCGTGTGTGCGTGTTATGTACCGTGACAAAGAAAAAGGCGGGGCCTTGGGCCTCTTAGGTGGAGAGACCACGACGGCGGCCATGGCGAGCACATACCGGCGAGCGAGGCAAGCGTGGGGGCTCACTATGGGCTTGAGGTGGCTAGAATGACGGTGCAGTGGCGAGGTGTGGCCGTGTGTTATCTTATCGTGCGATCTGTGCGTTTTTAGTATAAAAGTTTTTCTGTACCATAGCAACGCACGGGCACGCTACCTAGTGATTAAAAAAAGCTAATTTCTTTGCCTGGCATCTTGCTGAAATGAACCAATGGGGAGTAGAAGACAGTGTAACTTGTGCGCGGTCAGACTGAGTCCGTGAGTCGGCAGGATGCAGCGACGCCGATGAGCCAGGTTGTGAGGCGCGAGTGCGAGTGCGTCGCTGGATGCCGATGCGAGTGTGCGACGTTGGGTCGCTCGTCGCCGGCACGCCGTGACGCCAACCGCGAGAAGCCGAAAGGGCTTCGTGCCGTCTTTGCGAGTATGCCGGAGATGAGGAGAGAAACCGATCAACAAGGTAACGGCGAGTTGTCTGTTGTCGTTTGAGCTTCTGAAACTTCTGGGCTGTTGACTGTGGTTTGTGACTAGTGTCCTTGAGTCCAGATTCACGTAGTGGGCTGCTTGCAGGCTTCAAAATTCTATCGTGACTTAACTCGATGACTTCTGAGTTGGGCTATGTGCTGCCCATCTACCGGGGTCAGTTCCAAATTTTGCCGGGGTCAAGCAAGGCCAGGTAAGATACGTATAGGGGCATTCTCACGATCTTATCGGGGTCTGCCGACCCCGACGATATAAGGCAGATTCGCCCCTGACCCATCCTATCTGAAACTAAAACCAGAAGTTGCACTCTTGGGAGTATTAGACATGTATTATAGACATGTACAGTCCTATATATGTCGTATCTAGACAAGATGTAATCCAAGCCCATTGGGCTATATATATATGAAAGGTCACCCCTTAAGAGGGTGTGAGGTGTTTCCCTATCTCTCTACATTTATGTCTCTACATAGTATCTTTCGCAATTAGATACTGATTTACCGCTTCGATCCGCTCCCTCCTTCCCCATCGCGAGTCTCTCGCTGCCGATCCTAATCGAGACCGATCGGCCTTTCCCTCCCGCAGCCGCCGCCCACCTCCCCCCGCGTGAAGCCCTCACGCCCGTACACCCACCCCGGCAGCACTCTCCTCCCGGCGGCTCCCTCCCAATGGCCCTCCCGATGGCCACCTCTCTCTCCCTCGGCACCAGCACCGCGCCAGCCACCGGTGATGGCTCCATGCCTGTCCTCGGCGCGAGCACCATGCCAGCCACTGGCAGCGGCACCATGGGGTCCGTCGGCGCCGGTCTGGCCGCGCCGCCGCCACTGATCGTGGCTCATCCCTTCGCCACGGTCAACGTCAAAGCCCACGTCCCGATCACGTTGGAGCTCACCTCCAACTACTCGAAGTGGGCGTTCTTCTTCAAGTCCCTATGCGGCAAATTCGGCCTTCGATCGCACATCGACACCTCCGCTCCTCCTCAACCCGATGACCCCCAATGGGACGCCGCGGAATGCTGCGTTCGCGACTGGCTCTTCAGCTCCATCGACGACTCCGTCCTCGACCTCGCCATGGACAACGCCGATCCCACCGCCCGCGATCTGTGGGTGGCCATCAAGGGGATCTTCCACGCCAACAGTGAGCCACGTGCCATCTTCCTCCTCAACGAGTTCCACTCCATGGTGCAGGGCAACTCCACCATCTCGACGTACTGCCAGCGCCTAAAGATCAAGGTCACCGCCCTCCGCGACGTCGGCCACCCCGTGGAGGACTCGCAGCTCGTCCTCGCCCTCCTCCGTGGCCTCAACCCTCGCTTCTCCAACACCGCCGACGACATCGCAACTCCGTTGTTCTTCCCAGGTTCGCTAGAGCCCATGACATATTTGTTCTCAAGGAGCTCCACCTGGACAACGACGAGAAGACCGTCACCAACACCGCCCTCCTCGCCGCGGCCGGCTCTAGCTGCACCGGCCGGGCGGTGCCGCTCCACCACTACTGCGGCCTCCTCTACTGGTCACAGCAACAACACCGGTGGCTACGGTGGCAGCACCAGCGGCGGACATAAAGGCGGCGGTGGCGGCAAGGGCAAGGGCAAGGGCAAGCAAGGGGCTGGGCAGCTCTGCCTGCCCTTGGCCATGTGATGGCTTTATTCTTGGTGCACTGCAGGCTGGTCCCATGGGTCCCTGGCTCTGCTATAACCCGAGGGCACCCCAAGGCCCCCTCCGGTTTTGCAGCAGGGGTATTGGCGCCCTGGGATCCTCGGCGTGCCCCCCTTAGGCCCACACGGTGTTCACACCGGTGCAGCATCCCACGACCTTTGCACTGCTTTAGGTCTCCCAGCCGGCTCCTATGTGGAACTAGGCTGACCTTGTCGCTGCGCTCAACCAGATGAATCTCCAGGATCAGCATCCCTGAGTGATGGACTTCGGTCCTTCCTCTCACATGAGCTCCTCGGATGGTATACTCCTTTCCCGTCATCCTTTCTCTCATTCTTCCATTTCCGTTGGCAATGGTCAAACTATTCCTATCTCCTGTTGTGGCGAGTCTATCCTTCAAACACCCGAATCAAATTTTCTTCTTCATAATGTTTTAGTTGTTCCATCCCTAGTGCACAACCTGCTCTCAGTTCGTCAATTCACTAGAGATAACAACTGCTCCATCGAATTTGATGCTCTTGGTTTTTCTGTCAAGGATATCCCGACCCGGCGCATGATGCTTCGCTACAATAGTGCTGGCGATCTTTACACAATCCCCGCTGCACCTCCCATTCCACACGCCAGCATCGCCATCTCCACTGACCTCTGGCATCACTGTCTTGGTCATCCCAGCTCCGCCGCTATAAATATTCTTCGTCATAGTGCGTCTATCAGTTGTAATAAAGTAGAGCATACTCTATGTCAGTCTCATGTTAGCTTGGCAAACATGTGCGGCTTACTTTTTCAAATTCTAGTTCATTTAGCTCTATGCCTTTTGAACTCGTTCATTGTGATGTGTGGACATCTCTTGTTGCCAGTATTTTGGGTTTCCAATATTACCTCGTTTTACTCGATGATTTTACACATTTTTGTTGGACTTTTCCCCTCGTTCACAAGTTTGAAGTTGCAGCACATATCACAAATTTCTGCAACTATATCTCCACACAGTTCAGCCTCGCCATCAAAGCCATCTAGGCCGATAATGGCACTGAGTTCGTAAACAATACCCTCCAGACTCTATTTGCCTCTCATGGTATTCATTTACGCCTCTCGTGTCCATATAGTTCCCCACAAAATGGCAAGGCCGACCGCATTCTTCGCACATGGAACAACATCAGCCGCACCATGCTCATCCATGCGCACATGCCTACACCTTACTGAGCTGAGGCACTCGCCACAACCACGTACTTGCTGAACCGGCGCCCTTCCTCCGCCGTTCGCAATGTTGTCCCGTATGCTCTACTCTACAACAAGCCACCCGATTACTCCCACCCTCATGTCTTCGGGTGTCTCTGCTACCCTACTACCCCTCTTCCCATAAGGGGTATCGCTGTCTCGATCTATCGACACGGGCATCATCATTTCGCGCCACGTTGTTTTTGACGAGACTTGTTTTCCCTTCGGGCTTAACACCTCTGGGTCCTCGCACAACGACTTGGATTTCTTGCTTGCAAGTACTACCGTGGCTGCTCCGTCACATACCGACGTTGAGCAACCGCGCCCTACTCAGTTGGTTATTGAGGAGCTCCAGGACGACCCCGCGATCCTCCTTGGGCCTCTGGTGGCTGCTGCCCCTACTCAATCTGTGGTGGCTGCACCACCACCAGCAGCAGCCGCTCCTCCTCCGCCAGCCCAGGACTTCCGTCTAACGTATAGTCGGCATCCCGGGCACCTCCGGCGCCCCCAGCGGTCCAGCCACCTCCTGAGCAGGCTGCTGCAGCGCCAGCACCTACACCAGCTGCAGCAGCACCGTAGGCCCGCTGTAGCAGCAGCTCCTGTACCAGCACCCCGGATGATCACCCGGTCGCAACCCGGCACTCTTCGTCAGGTTCAGCGCTATGGCTTCTTTGCCACTCACTCCATCATCTCGCCGGTACTGGCGAATTACCGGAGTGCCTTGGTCGCCCCTCAGTGGAGGGCTGCTATGGCTGACGAGTACAAGGCGCTCGTTGATAATAGGACCTGGCGCCTCATCCCTCGTCCTCCCGGCGCCAATGTTGTGACGGGCAAGTGGATTTTTAAACACAAATTCCACTCGGATGGTTCCCTTGCCCGCCACAAGGCACGTTGGGTGGTTCGTGACTTCTCTCAGCGCCACGATATCGACTACGACAAAACATTCAGCCCCGTCGTCAAGCCTGCCATGATACGCGTCGTCCTTAGCTTTGCTGCTTCGCGTTCCTGGCCGATCCACCAACTTGACGTGAAGAATGCGTTCCTCTCACATGAGCTCCTCAGATGGTTACTCCTTTCCCGCCATCCTTTCTCTCATTCTTCCATTACCATTGGCAATGGTCAAACTATTCCTATCTCCTGTCGTGGCGAGTCTATCCTTCACACAGCCGAGTCAAATTTTCCTCTTCATAATGTTTTAGTTGTTCCATCCCTAGTGCACAACCTGCTCTCAGTTCGTCAATTCGTCAGTTAACTAGAGATAACAACTGTTCTATCGAATTAGACGCTCTTGGTTTTTCTATCAGATGGTTCCCTTGCCCGCCACAAGGCACATTGCATGTTTCGCGGCTTCTCTCAGCGCCACGGTATCGACTACGATGAAACATTTAGCCCCATCGTCATGCCTGCCATGATACACGTCGTCCTTAGCCTTGCTGCTTTGCGTTCCTGGCCAATCCACCAACTTCATAGTCATATGGAGGAGACTGTGTACTGCCAACAGCCTTCAGGCTTCGTCGACCCTGCATGCCCTAATGATGTTTGTCTTCTGCAGCGTTCTTTGTATGTCCTAAAACAGGCTCCTCGGGCATGCTACCAGCGGTTCGCCGCCCATCTCCGCCTACTCGGTTTTGTCGAATCCGTCTTTGACACGTCCCTCTTTGTGCTCAAAGAGAGGGATGCTACCGCCTACCAGCTGCTGTACGTCGACCACATCATCCTTACGGCGTCCTCGTCTGACCTGCTACAGCACATCATGGCACGTCTCCACTCCAAGTTTGCCATGACCGACCTCGGCGATTTGCACCACTTCCTCGGCATATCTGTCACACGTTTGCCGGAGGGCCTGTTCCTTTCCCAGTGCCAGTACGTTGTGGATCTACTTTAGCGGGCGGGCATAGCCGAGTGTCACTCCACCTCGACTCTAGTTGACACTCATGCCAAGCTCTCCGCCACCGACAGAGCTTCAGTCGCCGATCCTTCCTAGTACCGCAGCCTTGCCGGCGCTCTACAGTACCTGACACTCACCCGTCCTGACCTCGCCTACGCGGTCCAGCAGGTGTGCCTCTTCATGCACGATCCCCACGAGCCTCATCTCGCATTAATCAAGCGCATCCTCCGCTACGTGAAGGGCACTTTGTCCACCGGCCTCCACCTTAGCTCCGGGCCGGTGGACTTCCTCACCACGTACTCCGACGCAGACTGGGTGGGCTGTCCAGACTCTAGGTGCTCTATGTTCGGCTACTGCGTCTTCCTCGGTGACAATCTGGTCTCTTGGTCCTCTAAGCGCCAGACGACGGTGTCATGTTCCAGTGCTGAGGCTGAGTACCACGCGGTTGCACATGCCGTCGCCGAGTGCTATTGGCTTCGTCAACTTCTCCAAGAGCACCACGCACCTATTGCTTCTGCGACCGTCGTGTACTGCAACAATGTTAGCGATGTCTATATGACTGCTAATCCTGTCCTCCATCGTCGCACGAAGCATATCGAGATCGACATTCACTTCGTCCGCGATAAGGTTGTCTTGGGACAGGTTTGGGTGCTCCATGTCCCCATGACAGATCAGTTCGCGGACATCATGACCAAAGGCTTACCTGTACAGCTATCCATGGACTTTAGGTCCAGTCTTTGCGTCCGAGATCCTCCCGCTGCGACTGCGGGCGGGTATTAGACATGTATTGTAGACATGTACAGTCCTGTATACGTTGTATCTGGACATGATGTAATCCAAGCCCCTTGAGCTATATATATGAAAGGTCACCCTCTAAGAGGGTGTGAGGTGTTTCCCTATCTCTACATTTATCTCTCTACAGGGAGAAGTTGCACATGGAGTAGTAGTACTTACGCAAGAGACCGACTAATGGTAGCATTTTCTCTAGCTATGTTGTTTTAGTGGTTTCACGTACTTTGGAAATTAAATATTTCATAAATATTTAGAATGCGAAACGAGAAATAAACAACTCATGTGTTACTCAGGATGATTGGCTGAACCATTAGCTCCAAATCCAAAGATTGCAAGATGAAAGAGAATATAATTGGAGGAATATTGATATATTGCATTGGGCCTCATGGGCTGATTATATAGAGTACATGGGACTAACATCTCACATGATTAGGCAATATGGTACAATTCCTAATACTCTAATGACCCCTAGGCTACCGGTAGAAACAGGCTTGGTGCCGGCCCATAGCAGGCCCCTTAGGCGCCTATTCTAACACACCCCCTCAGTCGAAACGTCAGCCACTCTACACGTTTAGATTGGACCTGAACTCCGTGAACACTGAAGTAGGCAGCCCCTTGGTGAAGATGTCTGCATATTGCGAAGCAAAGAGGAACATCTGAACACGAAGATCACCAATAGCAACTTCGCTCCGGACGAAGTGAAGATCGATCTCTATGTGCTTTGTGCGCTGATGTTGCACCAGTTGGAGGACATGTAGACGGCGATCGATGTTGTCGCGAAGACACCGGTGTGGCGGCCGAAGAGGGCACGTAGCTCAAGAGAAGCTATCATGACCAAGTCGCCTCTGCAACTCCGTTAGCCTATCCGCACGATACTCGGCTTCAAAGACTTGATCTTGACAACATCAGATACGGGCGCTTGGATGACCAGGAAACAAGATTGTCGCCGAGGAACACTGCATAGCCAGAGGTGGACCTGCGAGTGTCCGGACAACCAGCCCAGTCAGCGTCGGTGTAGACAACAAGATCAGTCGGAGTAGACGGTCACAGCAGAAGACCGAGGTGGAGTGTGCCCCGAACATAGCGAAGAATCCGCTTCAGGGCAGCAAGGTGAGGCTCTCGAGGGTCATGCATGTGAAGGCAAACCTGTTGAACAGCATATGCAATATCTGGGCGAGTGAATGTCAAGTACTGAAGAGCTCCTGCAAGACTACGAAAGTCTGTAGCATCAGACACTGGGCCCCCCTCAGCTGCAGCAACCTTGGAGTTGGTGTCAACTGGAGTAGAGCACGGCTTGCACTCAGCCATCCCGGTGCGATCTAAGATATCCAGCAAGTACTGTCGCTGTGAGAGCAAAAGTCCATCGCCGCATCGTTGAACATGCATCCCGAGGAAGTGATGTAGTTCACCAAGATCTTTCATGGTGAACTCCCGTTGAAGAGCTGAGATGATCCGCCGAAGAGAATCTGAAGACGAAGCTGTGAGGACAATATCATCAACGTAAAGCAACAGGTAGGCTGTGTCTAATCCGTGCTGATAGATGAAGAGAGAAGTGTCTGACTTGGCTTCAACAAACCTAATGGACAGCAAGTAAGAAGCCATCCGACTGTACCAAGCACGAGGAGCCTGCTTCAAGCCATAGAGCGACTTCTTCAGGAGACAGACAAAGTCGGGATGAGCTGCATCTTCAAATCCGGACGGCTGCTGACAATACACTGTCTCAGTCAAGTCGCCATGAAGGAAGGCGTTCTTCACATCCAGCTGGTGAATGGGCGGTGACGAAGCGCCAAGGAGAGCATTCGTCATCAGAAATGGGCGAGCTTCACGGCCATGGCTGAAGGTTTCATCAAAATCCACACTAGGCCGTTGGGTAAAACCATGAAGAACCCAACGCGCCTTATACCGCTCGAGGGAGCCATCAGACTAAAACTTGTGCTTGAAGATCCACTTCCCAGTGACAACATTGGCCCGAGGCGGACGAGGCACAAGGTCCCAAGTGCAGTTCTGTAGGAGAGCACTGTGTTCTTCTTCCATAGCTGCTCGCCAATTGGGGTCGGCAAGAGCACTACGGAAGGTCTTCGGCACCGGTGAGAGAGGCACGGCGTGGTAGATAGAAGGCATCCTGAAGTCGCTCTTCGATCGTGTGCCCATGGAGTGTTGGTTGGCTGCCGGAGGAGCAGGAACCGCCCTTTGGGCGTGGGCGTGGCAGCAGCAGTGAGTGAAGCGGCGGTCAACGGCGGCCACGGTACCGGTGGGTTATGATCAGGGCGGCCGGCAGCTCCGTTGTCGATATTCTATGAGCGACGTGAAGAAGTCGCTGGGTGGCCGAAGGGGTGGGAAACCTGGTGGTGGCCCACGGGGTGCCTGAAGAGACACCGGAGAACCCGAGGAAGACAAGCCTGCACGCAGCGCGTCGGGCAGCTCCAGGGCCGCGCGTGGCGCGGAAGAGAGACTCCTGGTGGCCGCGCGTGGTGCGGTGGACGTCCTCGACACCCCGAGGCGGGGAAGCGAGAAGTCGCGGGCGTCCGAGGATCCTCGGCATCCTTAGGAGGCTCTAAAGGCGCCCGCTGCGATCGCCGCACGGGGGATCGCAGTAGCGCGGGTGGCGTCGAAGGTCTTTGGAGGAGTCCTGGTAAACACTTGTGCAACGGTCCAATAGGAGCGGGCACAATATCAGTACTGTCATCGGCAAGAAACTCGAGGTCTGCTGGAGTACTGGGACCATGACGCTCAGCGAAAGGGAAGGTCGTTTCATCGAAGATGACGTGCCGGGAGATGATGACTCTATTTGATGATAGGTCAAGGCAGTGGTACCCTTTATGATGAGCTGAATAGCCGAGGAAGACACACAGGATAGACCTAGGAGCAAGCTTGTGAATAGC